AAAAACAGAGAACAAAGAATATCACAATAAAAATATTACTAATATTATTAAAAATTGTAATATTTGCTTTTTATACAAGCAGCAATCATACAAAAGGCTCTTTTTTGCTGCATATATGTATTGTTTTATACATTTCTCTTCCCTTGTTTTTTGTTTTTAACTTTATCATGCAAAGTTTCATGTACTGATGTAATATGTTAACGATTACGTCAACGTTAAAGGTTTCCAAAATTCAGAGCACCAGCATCTCAGACCAAAACCATGGGCACTATTACTGACCACACTCCAGTAATTTTACCAATAGATAATTGTAAAACACACATCAGACTAAACTAAAAAAAATAAATCTTACCAAAATTGTCTTTCCACAGTCTTTCCAAAAATCACCAACGTTGGCTCGGTCAAAATAAATCCGTAGTTCACCAATTTAGATGTGAAAATAGCCGGCAGACTGCTAAGGCTGCCATGTAACGTTAGCTTATCTTTGGTAAGAAATTTACCGGTCAAAATCCTTTGAGTAAAAGTGCTTGTTTTTGCCACTGACAGGCTCAGTCAGTGTTTGGCAACATTATGGAAAGGATCCCTACAGAGACAGACCTTTTGTTTAACCAGAAACAGCCATAATATCACTATTCACTTTCCACAAGACTGCATAGACAAATAACGTAATTTACCTTGCATATGACTGTAACATTGTACAGTCCATCGTGTGTGTGTGTCCGCTCCTGCCTGCTTCCGCAAGCCTTCTGATTATTCACTCCTGCATTTCATGTCTTCTACTGTCCCGCAGGTGATATGTTATTCTACTGTGTCCGTAACAACTGAAATGTCTCCAAATTCCAGACTTGCTTTGCTTTGCTTTGCTGTTGTTTTGTAAAAACCCACTTTAATCTTTCTCTGAACTTCATGTGTTGACTCCTTCTCCATCCCTCTCGTGGGTGCGAGATAAATCCCGGGACCCGCGGTGTTTTTTTTTTTGACCGCCTACTCCCGCCTGCAGCAATGTCAAATCCACCCGCACTTTTGAGCTCCCACGGGATCCCAATCCCAATGCAGCCCTCTACAACATGACTTAATTCAAAGTGAACAGAAATAAAATAAAACTCACTGAAACTGTCTTTGTTATTCTTTTTTACTATTCCAACAATCGCAGACTCTGGTTTGATTGAATTCACAAAGCAAATAGTTGTTTGCTGCTATATTAATGTTTTGAATCTCAGATATATAACCTTCAGGTATTTCAGGAATGTCTTAATCCCTGAAAACTTATTTTCTCAATCAGCTTCTTACTATGTGCAACAGGATCCTGCACGAACACAACTTTCTGCCAAAGTTAGGACAGTTTTGGTTATTTAAAATTTGTAATGCTCGTCTCACTGGTTTGAGGTCAGCGGGTTAGATGACAGTTGTGGAGCTGATTGCTTATGGTGCCAGGCCACTGTTCATCAATCTGTCAAATCTCACCCACACAGTGTCTTTTTATGTATTTTTTTATTTTTCTTCGGGGACAAAGGAAAAAAACAACAACACTGATTGTACTTAAGGATGAAGGTAGATTTGAAATGTTTATTGTGCTTTTTTTTTTTGTATTTTCCAGAAGTTCTTCCAGAAATGGAAAGCCAGGGGGAGTATGAAGGACAGAACTTCAACTTTACATCACCAGACAATATGGACAATGGTGGCTCCCAAAACCTCACTAAACTCACTACAGCAAACATGGAGGACATGGAGGAGTATTACAATTTTGGAAAGGACACGGGCAGCTACACTACACCTTGAGTGGACCAGAGAACATTTTGGTGGGGTTTTTTTTTTTTAAGGCAGAGTTGTTGTCATGGCTTTGGGAGACACTGGGGAAGGGGTTTTCATTTAGTTTTGGCCTCCTTCCAGAAGAGCCAGAACTGCCGGACTCTGATGGGAGGCCAGGAAGCAGACGCACTTCAAAGGAGAGGTTTCAGCTCTGTTGCTGATAGCAGAGAAACTGAAACTGTTGACGCAGTCTGGAGCTCCTTTTTTGGGATTACTGCGCTTACCGACTCAAAAGACTCTCACTGGCGGACAGTCGAATCTGTATGTTGTGTGTATGTATCAGTTATTTGGAAAAAAAAAAAAGAGAAAGCAGTTGCAGAGCCATCGGTTACATTTGATGTGATAGAAATTTGTTTACCATTTTGCCATTTTTGTCATTCACAACCAATGTATGCCCTTATATTTTTGACTGAAAGTGCCAGCCAGATACATTTGCAACTAAGCTTCCACCGTGTCAGCTATTTACTCACTGTATATCGAAACTTTTGATACATAGTCACAACATATTCATAGGTTTGAATGCTCTTACTAAACAGTTCCTAATTGTAGTTACCCGTTCCTGCCCAGCCTTCCGTTTGAACAGGCCGGTCGTTCAATGCATTTGTGCTTTTTTTCACGGGACATCGTAGCCTTTTTCTCGACGGGGCACTTACTACCAAAGTTGCTACTGTCCCATGTCGGCTGATACCAGAAAACAAATGTTACCGACATATAAAGCCCTCTCACTGTACAAATGATTCTTCAACATGCAGTGTGTTTACCCAACGTTTTTTGTTTCACATGGTTTAGCTTTACATTATTAACCTATCCCGTGTAGTGAATATACTGCTCTAGTTTTTGAATTACTGAGTGAACAATACAAAAGCACTTTTTCATTGAGACCTGTCATTTTTCTGTGAAGGCTGTCTTCAGTAAGAGTGAACTCATTTGCCTCAAGGAGAAGAAGAGCTGGCGGGGGGGGGGGATAAGATCATAGAATCTTCCAAACCCCCATAATGGCAATATTATTAAACACAAACAGATATGCTTTCTCAGTAGGTTCTTTTGTAAACTGCAGTTTCCTTGTCATGGATAGTTCACAGTTGTCAGTTCACATGTGAATTGAAGAATGAGCAGTTGGTACGGAGAATCAGCAGTTTGGGTTTTTTGTTGTTTGTAGTTTCAGCACTCTTAAATCCAGGGCTGTTTTCACTTTACTTTCAATTCAGTTAATTCAGAAAAATATTTACCCTCTCAACTAAAAACTAAAAAAATGACTGAAAATTAATATCCGATCTGTTGATTTAAAAGAAGAATATAAATTGTTTGGAGGGCCCAGTTACACTTTGAATTGTTGAATTGTAATTTGAGTGACACTAGTCCTGCTGTTCATAATTCTGTTTTGGGGAAGACAGTCAGCTCCCCCTGTCCTGCCATGCAGGTCAGCCTTGATATGCACACTAAACCAGAGGAATGGTCTTCTAGTTCTTTTTTGAAATGAGGAATATCAAACTGAGACCTCATGGAAATTGACCATGAATTATTTAATAAAGGTTCTCTAGTTTAAATGATGGTGTTTTAATCTGTCACTATTTGGGGGGGGCAATCCTCAGTGTCTGGCATTTCTAGCCTTGCTAGTGGCTCTAGGTATGGCAGTGTTGGTCCAACACTAAACTAAAATATTTATTTATATATAACTATCAGATGTATCGCCATGACATTTTGTAGAAACACAATACTGGTCATTGAAGGAATCTTAATTACTTTGGTGATCTCTTGACTTTTCATCCAAAGCCATTTTAATGAAATAAATTGCAATTTTTCTAGTACTTTGATTTATGGCTGAACACTTGGAACAACTAATGAAATACAAAGAGCACCCACACACTGAAATCACAGTTCCTAAAGTGCTATTGCACCATCAATTACAGATTAGGGTTAGGGTTAGAGTAGGGATATATGTCAAAATGACCAGTGACATAGCCATCAAATCATGACATCGCTATGTAGTTGGAGCTTACCAGACAAGTGTAAAAAAAACAGAAAAAACACTACCAAAATGAAACTGGACATTTCTGAATGAGAAAAGAGAGGAGGGTCTTCTCTACTTCATGCAGTCATCTGGTAGGAGTTCAGTTTCGCCTGTTAAGAGAACTGGATTGCAACTTTTGGGTTATGTCTGTGATCTTGAAGCCTCAGTCAAACCTAGTAGAGACTGCTGTAAAATGTCCTCTCATGGATTGTACTTCCGCTGTTTCACTGATGCTTTGCGTTGTGCATGGATTAGGCTTCCATAGGAAATCATTTCCCAGGACGTGATTGATCAATTTGCTCAGAGATATGACTCCTTTATGGCTGCAGATCATATTAAGTGGGAGGTTCTTTAGCACTTAGCAGTTCCATGGGAATGTTCCTCCAGGAGGAAATTAAAAAAAAAGGGGGGGGTAATCTAAATGCTAATTTCTGGTAATTTTGTGATAGAGGCACCTTGTTCATTTTCTTTGACTTTTTAGTGACTGGGAGAGACATAATAGCATATTCCCCAGTGAGTGGTTCAGTTCTAAAGTTAACCTCTGTCAGGACTTTGAGTACCAAATGCTTTAGATTGAGAACAGCAAGAAACATGTGATATCAAACTAACTTTTGTACCCTCAGTGTTTGTATGTCTATAAACTGCACCAGCCAGGCCTAATGAGATCTTATTCACATACATGTCTGAAAAGCATGTTTAGCATTAGTGCTTTGGTTACTTTTAATATTGGATAATATAATAAAAACCAGGTAATTAGATGAACAGAAACAATTTTTAGGAGGGATGTTTCAGGCACAGTCTTGCATTGTTTAGAGTGTGTGACAGATAAGCTTTTAAACACAGTACATTGCATAGCTGGCCAACTGGGACCATGTCGACATCTGCTGGTGATGATGTATCATTCAGCCAACAGAACTCCCATCAGGTCTGGCCCTCTGCTGGTGGAAACACTACTCAGCGTCATGCACTGGAGGGTACATATAACGCCTTCTAGTGACTCTTGGCTGGAGCCTTTGTGAGGAGGAGTTGTGGATTTCACACTGGTTCAACATTAGCCAGGTTGTGTCACTGATATTTAAGATGAGCACTACCGCTAACCACAGCCTCAGTGTTCAGCGTAACAGCACTGAACACTGCTGAAGTAAAGAATAAAATGACAACCAAGCATGAGGCAACTACATATGCTGCTTGTTATAGTGATTGCTAATCACTTATTTCTTTTTAATAGTCATTCTGACAGTGCAAAACAGATCATTGTTGTCCTTGTTTGTATATACTTTTCTCTGAACATACATTCTAATCAAATGTGAAAGATAAGCTTCTTTGAAGCGGGCATTATAAGTTAACTTTAGCATTCATCTTAATTACAATACAATCACTTAATGCCGCAATACAAAAATGGACCATTGGCAACAGGAGAGGAAGAGGACAGTAATGTCATACAAAAAAGGCACGAAAAATAGCAAACTTGGGTCCTTCAGAATTGGATACAAAGGTTCATACAAACGAACAGTAAAAACAAGCTAAAAATCTACAGACATGGTTTGTCTCTCTACATTGGCATGTGTATTGGTCTCATTGTTCTTCATTTGCCCAGAGCTTTGTCCAGGTTGGTCTTGATAGCGTCCAGGAAGTCTAATGTGTTGACATAATGTTCATTCAGCTTACAGCTGCAAGATCAAGGGGAAGGGGCAAGTTATAAAAACTGTTCTCACGTAAAAACATCAGAAAAGGTTTCCTAAAGATAGACCACACAGACGGTTAGCATGTCTGAGGGATCTGAAAATGTACACTCACTTGGCCAAGCCATGGATGCAGCCTGCGAGGTCCTTGGTCATCACTCCATTTTCCACAGTTTCCACACAGACTTGTTCTAAAGTCTGGGAGAACCTGGAGAGTGACAGTGCAGGGTTAAATAATTATTATGATGTAAAATTGCAAGAAAATGAGTAAATGACACAAAATAATCTGATAACCTACTTTATCAAGTCAGAGTTTCCGTCCAATTTGCCTCTGTGCTCGAGTCCTCTGGTCCAAGCAAAGATGCTAGCAATAGGGTTGGTACTGGTTGGTCTTCCCTACAAAGCAAGGACACAGTTAAGGTAAGTACTGAAACTTCAACACATCTTGTGGTTGCTTTGCAATCAGGTTTATTGATGCTACCGTGGATGGAGAAATTAGTATCTCTGCTTCTTCTACCATGGATTTATGGAATACATTTAAAAAATAAAAAGAAGAAGAACCAGTACAATTTTATTTGCAAATCACAAACAAAATATAAAATTAATGATGTGCTTTCCACTATTTCTGCTCTTTAAACCCACTTTCAACCGCAGTTGGCGGAGAGAAGCACAAACTGAGTGCAACTGCAGTTAACATTAACACTTGCAGTTGACGTTCATTATCTTACAAATAAGACAAAAAGCAAAAGAACAAAAATGTTTTGGTTAGCCTGGTTCTTCAGTGCACTTCTGTCATTTGAAGAAAAGTTGGACAGATTTGCACCAACTTCTAACATTCTCACGAGCGTTTGTTAAATAAGTGGAGCTAATTATTCCAACTTCAACTCAAAACCTTTGGCCTAAAACTGAATCTAACCTCAAACCTAACACTAAGTCCCAGCCATGAATGAGTACACAGAAATTTTGGGTCCGGCCAACATGTCCATCACTTTGCAAACATTTCCTCACTCTCAAGGTAAGAAAAAAATCAAATAAGTTCCAACAAAGGTACAAATGTTTACAAGGTGACCTGCTGGCTCTTACCCTCTGGTGTTCACGGTAGTGTCTGGTGACGGTGCCGTGGGCAGCCTCGGCCTCAATAGTCTTGCCGTCAGGGCACACCAGTACTGATGTCATGAGACCTAGAGAACCAAAACCTGGACGCAACACACAGACACATCTTGCATCACAAGGCAATCCCATCAGAAGCCCACATACAAAAACAAAAGCTGCAGCTCATGTACATAATGTGACTCTGTGTGTGCCTTCGCTGAGCAAGAATAGAAATATCACAACTTATGTACCAACCCATCATCAAACTGAAGTGCACTTACCCTGGGCCAGAATGTCTGACTGCACATCTCCATCGTAGTTCTTGCAGGCCCAAACAAATCCTCCAGAAGACTTCAGGACCTGGGCTACCATGTCATCAATGAGACGGTGCTCATACCAGATCTTCAGCTTGTCGAACTCTGGCTTGTACTCCCTGAAAAAGACAGAATAATGAAAATGTGTTGTGTCTCCTTCACAGTGTCCTGACCATTGAGCAATAAAACTGGAGCCAATACACTGTTCATCTGGTTTTAACACATGGAATTACAATGAGTCGGCAGAAGAGTTTATTCTTTAAGCAATGTAATGAAACAAGTCTGAATTCTCAGTGTCTCACTTCTCGAAGATGTCCTGGAAGATGTCTTTGAAGCGCCCGTCGTAGGCCTTGAGGATGGTGTTCTTGGTGCTCATGTACAGAGGCCACCTCTTGTTGATGGCATACTGGAAGCAGCTGTGAGCAAACCCACTGATGGACTGTGTAAAGAAAATATAATAATAAAGGTCCAGATTTTAAACATAATAAACTGAACAATAAATAAAAAAACAGAAGGCACTCACCAAAATATTGAATTTTGCTGTAGAATTGTCTATAAATATTACATTGGAACAAACTCATTCTTACCTCATCAGTGTTGTACATGCCCATCCCACAGCCTCCTGCAGAGAAGTCATACACCTCCCACTCCTTCTGCTTGCTTCCATCAGCTGGGGAAAATACCATCTTGAACTTGCCAGGCTGGTCTACAACAAAGTCCGTGGCCCTGTACTGTGGGATTAAAACAGAAAACCTGTTACGTGAGACTGCTCTTCTGACAGTTTGGATGATTCTTGGCTGAGAGAAAACACGTTTGTATTTTTTACCTGATCGCCAAAAGCATGTCTGCCGATTGTTATGGCCTGTGTCCAACCGGGAACAAGGCGAGGGATGTTTTTACAAAGGATTGGCTCACGGAAAACTGTGCCACCCAAGATGTTCCTGATGGTTCCGTTGGGACTCTTCCACATCTTCTTTAGCTTAAACTCTGACAAAGAAATATGTATAGTATTATAAGCTTTTGCCATTTGAAGACCCAAAGCAGTTAGGAAACTAACATGAAAAGTATTGTTATCAACACACTCACATACATACAGCTGATTCTATTTATTTTTATTTATTATTTATTTTAAAAACTAGAAATAGTCACAGTTTGCATGTAATTTAACACAATGAGTCCAACTTACCCTCAACTCGGGCCTCATCTGGGGTGATGGTGGCACACTTGACAGCCACGTTGTACTTTTTAGTTGCTATAGCCGAGTCAATGGTGACCTGGTCGTCTGTCAGGTCGCGGTAGGGCAGGCCCAGGTCAAAGTACTTCAGCTCAACGTCAACATTGGACAGGATGAGCTGCACATGTACAAGATGTTGATGTGTTATTTGTTCGAGGACAACACTGGACAACAACCACACACAAATGCAGTGTTTCTAATTATTCTAACACATTTTAACTTTGAATACAAACATCTACAGTTTCTTTATAGTTTAAATAATTAACAAAGTTAAGCTTTATTAGTCTGTTCCATTAACCTTCTCTTTGATGAACTCCCATATGATGCGAGTCATCTCATCCCCGTCCATCTCCACCACCGGCTGGTCCACCTTGATGCGCTGTGTGGCATCTGGAAAATGTACAGAGACAGCAACTATCATGTGTACAGCTGCAGATGATAATGAACATGTTTTAAACTTTGCACACAGTCGAGGTTGCCACTCAGTACTTTATCTTCTAAAATCATTTAGCTGAAGGGTCAAACCCTAATAATTTGCACACTTTCATTGCTTTAGACTGAATCAGCCGCCTTATGCAGTATAATTCTTGGTTCCAGAGTTCATTCTGGCTGACGTGTAACCGTCCCTGCAATTCGATCGGGAGTCTTTAAACTCACATCCCTCTGGGGAAGCTCATTGACAAGCCAAGAACAAACGTCTTGCCTCAACCTGTGACAACTGTCTGATCCACCACAGACCCCAAAAACACGCTTGTTTTGTTTGCGTTGTATCTCCCTCTCACTTCTTAGTAACACACAGTTGTCTCATTCTTGCTGAGACAGTGAAACTCTGCCAGACATTGTGACCTTTGGGATTATATGACGGCTTTGATAGCAGTTATTACCTGCCAAGCCCTCTTTGTACCTGACAAAACACGTGGACTCACATGCCAGGACAGGCTGGCACCAGTTGCTATTATGGCCTTTAGTCTACGTAACATACAGTATATTATTTATATATCTGCTGTGGGCTAAATGCACCAACCTGTGGCATTTATACAACAAATACCTTACATTTTATTCAGTATCCAGCATAATATTGCTCTGTTGTTGGTTTCTTACACTTCTAAGTTGTCAATTATGTTATGTTGATGTATCAAGTTCTTAAGAGTTGTTACATTTGTAAATTAGTGTTAGAAATGAATAAGTAGACTGTCCTGGATTTCCATGATCTTGTGTGATTCATTGATGGCAACTCGCCAATCAGCCACATCGACTTCCTGCAGGTTTCCACTGTCACCAACTATTTATTACTCATTGATCCTCACTGCCCACACATACAGTCGCTAGAAACACGCCGTGGATTTTGAGTCATATTGTTGTGCTTTTAGTCGACGGCTGACTTACAGTTCCGCTGCTGGAGTCTGTGGTGGTGGCGGACGGCGGCCGGTGAGACCACTGCGGGGTTTTGCGACAGTGCAGCGGCTGTACTCCTCGATAAGGTGGTCAGAGCTTTTAGGTAACCCGCCATGTTTACTAGAGTCTGTTTTGGTCGCTGACACTGACGCTACTCTGTTTTCTTATGAATGAATCTCCGGCCGGTGGAGCCCGGTAAACTGCTGACACCGGATGTAGATTCCACATACTTTGGGTAGAGCGCTCCGATTGGCCAGAATAACGTGCTCCGGGCTAATCATAGTGTGTTTGTTGCGCAGCCTAAGGTGAGTTCAGGTTATATATGCTGTCAATGGTTCAGGTTCAAGTTCACTACTACAAGTTAGTCTTCCTGTTTCCTCCTTCCTGATCCTCACAGTGTTTTGCATAATCTATTGCATATGAGAAATTAAATACGGATGTAGTAGAAGAGTAAAGACATTCATATGATGAGACAAAAATCTTATTTATATTTATTGGTTTCTTTCTTTCCGCTGAAAACTAAATAAAATTGTTATTTCAAAATAATTCGATTATTATTTAAGATTTAAACTTTGAAGCCCAGAGCCTTTCTGTGATAAACAATGTTAAAATAACCAAAGAGTTAATAGAACAATAAGAAAAGAAGCCTACTATGTAAGAATTATTGTCAATCATTTTTAAAAAATGTATGAGATAAACTCATCTCTGATGTAATATTCACAGGAAATAATATGCTCAAAATTCATCCAAAAATGGCTCGTTTTAGGTTTCAACTTCCTGCAGTTACTGTGTTCACAATTTGGGCTCATTGTACAGTTCATCAGTTGTTCTGTACTGTTATTGTTATGTGTTGAATATGAAATATCAATAAAATATGTCAGGGGTGGTAGGTTCACTGAGTGATAGATAAGGGATCTCTTAAAGAAACGGTTGTGAAGGCCTGCACCAGGGTAATGCAATTTGTGTTTTAGTTTTGAGCTTTTCCTCCAGTGTACTGATACTTTAAGATTTTTCCAAACCTGCACCTGGTCTATATAGGATTGGAGTTGTGGACTTTTCTGTTTTAATATGTAAACTAATGTCGTTCTTGTCCAATCTGTGTTATTTTTGCTCTTGATAAGAAACATTAAGAGATTCCACTAAAGGGGCACGAGTCGGCCGGAAACAGCTTTTATTATCTCCTGTAATTTTCCATCAATTAGAAAACACATAAGAGAGCTAATATCTGCACAATTTACAATCAAAATGTCTCTTCTTAATAATAAAACTCAAATCAATAAAATCAAAAATACATTTTTATGTGAACCTGGATCTGAAATGGCATCAGAAAATACCACAAATGTTCAAAATGCAAATCTTAGAAGAGGAAAATGGATTTGCATCTTCACCAAACATGACTTTTTTACTAAATTTTACTTAAATCTGATTTTACAGATAATAAACAGATGGATAAACAAATAGGACTAAAGACATAACTTTAGTGGTGAGAAAAAAGATCCATAATAATTGGTCACTTACTAATGTCCATTAAACGTATTTCTTACAGTTACACGGACTTGTTATTGCAACCAAATTTAAAACATAAAAGTGAGAATATCTAATCAATCAGTGACAACAGGATGGCATGTAACAGGCAGTAAACCGTAAACTTGGTATAAACTTGGTACATTGGTAGGAAATGAAAAAATAAATTTCTTAAGGCACTTTGTTAGACACACAAGGACATGAGGGAGACAGAGCTCTTACAACTGGTAACAACTTTTTGGACATAAATTAAGGTAATAACAAACATAATACACATCACACACTATAAAATAAAACTGACATTCGGAAACAACACTTTCCACAACTATCTAGATCGAAATCCTTGACGGTCCTACTGCAAAGCAATCCTGGCCATTACCAGATGCATCAAACTAAACATGCTTTATTTTGTATGTCTATAACAATATAATAAATAATCTGTGCAAGGTTGAAAGGTGTCGATCTCAATTTTCAACACAAGTACAAGCGTTGTTTCTTTTCAGTACAGCTTCTTACAAACAAAACATCACAGACACAAAAAAAGGCATTCACACACTGGGTAAGCAGGAAAAAAAATGACTTCTTGAACTTTCCCTGGAATCTTGCTGGAAATAATACAAGATGGATGCTACTCTCCAGATGCACCTATGTGTTCACACTGACGCTGTTCCACCTTGTCTTTCTGAGGACGTATCAAGACTAAGACTTCTAAGTGGTGGCTGCCACAGAGCCTTTCTTCTCAGTGAAGAAGCTCCTGAGCAACATGACTTGACCGATGCCAATGACAAACAGCAGGACGGTTTGTCCTATGGACCAGAAGGTCACCCGCTCGAGGAGATGCTCTGCTTTTGTGCGGTCATACGCCTCTCTCAGCCTGTACCATGTCTGTGAGTCAGCCACCACCTTCAGGATCTCATGAATAGAGACGCAAGACGACTCCAGCTGAAAGTGGAAAGATCACCACAGATGAATCAAGAGCACAGCCACGGCCTGGGCCAAAACATTCAGTAAACTAACTAAATTATATTCTCCAAACTGCTCCTGAATAGTTTCACCTCAACTTCCTACACCTTTCCTACAAGTCTCAGGACTTGAAGTGGTCATAATTGGAGTTTTTTTTTATTTTTATTTTTATTTTTTTATAAATAGTTGACATATCTAACTTCAGTTTACCTAAAACTGAAACAGACTGCCCTTTAAGTTTTCATTGTGGGGTAAGGCGAGCACATTAAAAGACTAGCAAATATGATTTGGCCGAGGTTAACACAATATTTCCAGTACATGGTGAGACTTAAGTCAGAACAACTAGCTCCACCTGGTGGACTTTATAGAAACTGTCTAACATCTGAAACTAAACCAACAATAATGTGACAGCAACAGTTTTGCTTCACCTGCTATCACCTCAACAGATTTGTTAGCCTAAACACAACACTTTTATTATATGCTATTAGCATATAATGTTTTTGCTGCAGCATCACTTCAATCTGTATCATACCTTGAAGGTGAAAATAATAATTTCTAGTTTCCTTTTTGTGTCTTTGTGTTTTCTGTTTACATACATGTGCAATTTTGTGGTCCGCTGAACACTTTAGGTAAGCACATTTGATCTTTTTCTAAACAAAGGAGCAGCCAGAGTTTAAAGGGTTTCCACTACAGCAGACAGATTTATACCAGCCTGTTTTAAAGTTCCTCAGACTTACCTGAGTTAGTGCAGTAGAGCTGGTCATGCTCTGCAGGAGAGGATCCTCATCTCCATGGCGGAACTCCAGATAGACGATTTTATGTGTAAAAGTGGAGAACTCGTTGCTGAAGCAGACCTTGTAGACGCCCTTCATAGCTGTGGTGTGAGAGAAGCTGTCATACTGCTTCTTCTTCTCGTTATATAAGACATTGTTCTGAGGATCCGTCACAAAACAGTCCACATCATAGTTTCCTCCTGAAATCACCTACAAGGGGGGGAAAGCACACATAAAAGAAATGTGTGGATTACAGGACATATGTATGCTAACAGCTCTGTAACACTGTAACATATGTTGTTTTGTTGTATCATGTACAATCAATGTGGCTGTGCAGAAAAACAGTTAGGTTTATTAAAACAAGGTTCTTAAACTGAGGTATTAAAATACATGCATTTTGGGATTATGTATAAAAAAAAAAACCTAAAAAAAACTAAAACTAAAACCATGCATGTTCTTCCTTTCCAAGAGCAAGAGACAGAAAGCACTCAGAGGACACATTTCTAACTAAAAAGGAACTTTGGCAGTCGTCTTGCAACACACAGAGTGACAGGGATGAAGCTTTAAGAGGAACTTACTTGGAAGTCTATGTCAAACTTCACGTCTTTCTCCAGTTCCTCGTAGAAACATTGCTTATCGTTGTCAGGGAGCTCAAAAGTGAGCTCAGTCCCAAACACCACAAACACATGCAGCAGCAAACAGCTCAGTCCCAGGCCCAGCATGGTGAAAACAGAAAAGGGAGCTGCTGGCACATACAGTGGAGCAGTGGTAACACTTTAGTAGCTCTGACGTGGCACGAGCACGAAGAACTTCCGGGGCATGTTTGTTTATTTTTTGGTAAAAAATTAGCCCACGGTTACGAAACGTAAATGGAGACCCAGTATAACCTCTAAATGTAACACAAGCAGTTTCTAAACTAGTTAAAGCCACGAAGTGTCAACTCACTGCGACACATTCATACTGTGACCAGTCATGATTGTTAGGTTTCAAAATAAAAGCCCGAACTAAATCAGCCTACAAACTATTTTAAACTAAAACACACTTTGACTTCTTTTCTAAAGTCAGTTTATGAGTTATACATTTTGCAGTGATGGACGAATTATTAAGATCATTTTAAAAAGTAGCAGAACTAAAATGCCTCCCACATAATCGGTCGGTTAGTTTTATCTGTAAAAAGTTGTGATAAACTAACATGGGTGGGCGAGCTGCATTGTATTGATGTGTGTGTTTTATAGGGCTTGTGTAATCTACACAGATAGACTTTCCTTAGTAATAGATTATACCTTTTAGATTTAGATAAGACCTTTACTAGAAAGTTTGACATTATCTCGCAACTCCCAATTCATCATAGACAAAGGAAACATAGGAGCAGATTAAAGTCATACTACACTAGCTGCTGTGAACACCGAGGGTTTAATTAAACTGAGTCTTATTCTGAAAATCCCAGTCGGTGCAGACCACGCCCCCACTCGCGAGAAGGGATTATCTTTACAAAATACGGAAAGGAATAAAAACTCCTTGGTCAGGCTTTGACAGTACTCCATGCTGTATCTTATCCATCAGTACGTAACTTTTATAAACGACCAGATTGTTAACTTAAATTCCGCCATAATCTTTCCGTTCAAGCGTGTAGTCATTTTTCATTTAAGTTGGTTAATAATTAACAGCCTTAAATATGCAAAAATACTCACAGGTGATGAGTGACTTTGTACAGAACCATGCGACCGGTCTCATAGTTGCTTTTACTGCAGGTAAACCACTTATTTTATCTAAAGGATACTGTGTAAGCTATGTTTTGTTCCACATTTTGTTTCCATATTTTCTTAAATGTCAATGTAAGACAAGTTGCCTAATTCGTACTACTGAGAACGTAAATACATAATAATGTAATAACGTAATGTAGCTGCGGACAATGTGCACTAAGTAATGGTGTATACTTTGTCATCAGACCATAAATCCGTATGTCAGATAAATAGCTCATGGTATGATCATATTTGTCTCATCCTGACAGAGATATTCATTGTGAGGACTGCTCTCGTTGTCAAGGCC